TTTCTACCACTTTATGAATGTTAAAGACTGAACGTCGGTCATTTGAAGATAAAGATAATTATGAAAAAAGTTCTTCTGATGCTTTTTAGTTTCCAAGTAACAGATTGTGAAATATACAATTCACTCTGTTTGATATAACTGGTGTTACATAACTTGGTGAGTTTGGTTAGATTTGATTTAAACAAGTATATTTTTTACATTATCTCATTATGGCTTAATTGTGGGCTAACGTGGTGAGTTAGGCTACATTTGATTTAAAGAAGTGTATTTTGCATCATCTAATTAAGAATTACGTGTAAGCCAATTTTTTGAGTGAGGATAGGTTTGATATTAAGAAGTCTATTTTTACATTGAATCATTATGGGTTAAATGTGTGCCTAGAAATATTGCCATTAGATCACCAGTTTCTTTGGGCGGCTGAGATTGCTATGGTCTTGTAAGTGATAACGTAAAAAAACACTAATTATGGTTTTGCTAGACCTCCCACTTAAAGAAATCATTAATAAAAATCATATATTTAAAAAGTAAAGATGTGAAAGTTAAAAACATTTTATAAAATGTTGTTGTACTGATCGATCTGTTCCAAAATACGAAGTCTGTAAGGTTTTGCTGAATATTGACTTGATATTTAACTTAGCTCATCTTCTCTTTGGCTAAGTACACGGTATTTGTATAAATGTTGTTAACGTCTCTCTACGTTACTTATGTGAAATAATCAAGATTTAGGTAATTCTTATTAATCTTTACTATGGGTGTAAGATATAAGGTGTTAAGGAATGGTGCGTAATCATGTTTTCCTTTCTTAAAATACTGCTCTTCACTTGCTCAAATATTTCTCCTCACCTCCTCTGTGGCTTAGCAGTAAGCTTGAGAGCTTATAACGCTAAAAATCTGGGTCTGATATCTGTGGTGAGTACAGCGCAGATAGTTCATTTTGTAACTTTGTGCTTAAACAAGGTAAACAAATATTTGTCCAAAGAAACTCTGAATATGAGTTATCTAAGCACTTAGTCAATTTTCAAAAATTACAACAAAACATGAATCTTTGTTTGCTTTAGGACAAAACTACACATTGGACTATATTTGTTCTCTGTCCACCGCGGAGAATCGAACCCCGGATTTTAGCATTGTAAGTCTGTAAACGTACCGCTAACCCACAGGATGAACCAAACATAAAAGTCAGAAGTGGACTCATAATTAAATCCTGAAGAAATACGCGCTCGTGCCAAAATTTACTATATTCCATTTTATATGGAAATATATTTTCTTAGAAACCTCTTTCAGTATTTTACTTGGAAATTGACTATCCATCTTGTGTTACCTTGAAAATAGCTATCTAATTTTTTCCTTGGAAACTTGTCCAACATGTGGTCGGGGACAACTTAATCTTCAGCTCATGATTGCTTGAATTCATATGTTAAGATACATCTTGAGCTTTTCGTTGTTATATATATATATATAATTTACTTTCAATCTATGTATATATCTATTTCACCTTACGCACCTGCTCATTTCATATGTAAAGGATTAGTTTCATTGATAACATGTGTAAACATTGCAATCTCCCATATTTATGGTTGGCACGTGCTTATACAAAGATTGGGTGGGTTCGTTCTTTTTAGCACGCAAAGTTCATTAAAAAGAATGAGTTGTGACTTTGCAGAAGTCCATGTAATTTCGAAAAAAACAAAACAAAGTAGAATATGCTCTATGATATGATTTTTCTCTTTCATGTTTGGTCTTAACAACTGATTTTGTCTATATTCTATCTACCATAAATCCTGCAATTGTTGACTATATATCTTTCCCCTGATTCGAGGATTATTAACATAGAAAATTAGAACATATTAATGTTGTAAGAGGTAAATCTCGAGCTATTAGATGAACAAGATGTATCAAGATAGAAATTACATCGTTTTAAAGTTCCATTATGTATTAACATAGAAAATTCAATCTTCTAGATAAGCCAACGTGTATTTATTTAGAACGTCAAACGTGTTGCTAAGAAAGACATTTGGATCATCATTCTTAAAATTCAAAGTGTATTAACGTAGTTAGTTTAATAATTTGCAGCATATTAATTTAATGTTTATTAACAAAGAAAGTTAAACCTTCTAAATCAGTCAACGTATATTAACATGAATCACTGAAAGTTAAATGTTTATCTGATTTAAAGTGTATTAACGTAGTAAGATTATTAATCTTAATTTTCCAAGATATACCGATATTAACAAATCGCTCACTTTAATTTTACAAACCATTCCTAACTTATATTGTTCGACCTCCTTAATGAAAACTAGACCATTTATTTAGAATATCTGGCACACCACAAAAAGTTTTATCAAGTGTCTAATATGATTTGTATATTATACAAATCATTGAAGTGACCTGGATTACATATAAGAGCTGTGAGAATATAATACCAAATAACATTACGATTTTTTTTTGTCTTTTATACACTCTAATTTATTGGTAAAATTTATAGCCACATTTTCTCTGCCTTTTTTATTTAGTTTTACATATCACTACTAACTGCCTGCTTCCTTGGATACTTACCAGACTGGAATATCTGTAGAATGTCAATGCTCATGATTGAGAGTAATACTCTTTCAGCCTAGAGATCAGACCTCGCCTCCCAGTGGTTGCTGATTTACCCCAGAGTTTTAACATGCTAGGAGTTAATTATAGAGCAAGAAAAATTCGCGATTATTTCTTTTATGAAATATTGTCACCATTATTTTATAGTGACGAACCAATGATTTGTTGTCCATTATGGTAACGTTTATTTAATCGTGTATGTAAGAAAAATATATTTATAATAACTGAGTTACACGCTTAAGAAATTGCAATGATTCCTGTGTTGTAGTGTCTTTTTTTTCATTTCCAAAATATTTTGTTTCGGGGAAATTTGCTTCTTAGAAAGGTTATTTATGTTCAAATAACGGGAAGACATACAACAAATCTGAGAAAATTAGTACTGGGTTATTTGTGATAAGGATGTTATTACATTAAAATGTATTACTAATTAATTCAGGTTTTTTCTAATCGTAACACATATAGATAGTGAATGTGGCAAAAAAGTAACAAACGCGTAACAGAAAAGTTAATTGGGTGAAAGGTTGATTGTTATAAAAGCCTATATTTTATTTAACAAATTTAAGTTACATTAATTTGAGGCTACATTTCATCAACATGGATGATTCCGTGTAGTGTAGAAAACGGTATTAAAATAAATATATAAACAACGGTTATTAAATCACATTTCGATCCTACGATAACTTTATAATTCACAAGTTTGTAGTACACACCATACATTTCCAAATTGATTAATTCGTAGTACACACCTTTATTTACATAATATAAACTGATTAACTTGTAGTATATATTAATTATTTACATAATATGGACTGATCAATTTGTAGTTAAAAAGTAAAGTTCTTGCCATGCCGATGCTTTCGAACTCTGGTTCTAATGACACAAGCAGGTGAGAAGGGTGACCATTTCCCCTGGACTGGATGCCAGTCTATCACAGCTGATACCTTGGTACCCATCATACAGCTGAGTAAATTGAAACAAGTCTTGCTCAATGACAGAACAGCATGATGCGGCCAGCTTCAAAATTGCAACCGTCCGAATATTAATCCAAAGGACTAAGACACTGAGCCACGCTGGGCCTGTATTACATACCATTTACTTACGTAATATAGACTGATTAATTTGTAGAACACATCATATATTTACATAATACAGACTGATTAATTTGTAGAACACACCATTTATTTCATAATATAGATTGATCAATATGTAACACATACCATTTACTTACGTAATATAGACTGATTAATATGTAACACATACCATTTACTTATGTAATATAGACTGATTAATTTGTAGAACACATCATATATTTACGTAATATAGACTGATTAATTTGTAGAACACATCATATATTTACATAATATAGATTGATCAATATGTAGTACATACCATTTACTTATGTAATATAGACTGATTAATTTTTAGAACACATCATATATTTACATAATATAGATTGATCAATATGTAGTACATACCATTTACTTACGTAATATAGACTGATTAATATGTAGTACATACCATTTACTTATGTAATATAGACTGATTAATTTGTAGAACACATCATATATTTACATAATATAGACTGGTCAATTTGTAGTACACACCAGTTGCTTCCATATATAATATAGTAGTCTATTTTTTTTAGCTTCATAAACTAAAACATATAATCATATTGATGTTAATCTGTAAGAAAATGGTAAAGAATGAATATCTCCAATTTTCAAAGTGGCATGACAGCGAGTGGCTTTTTAGTATAAACATCGTTTCTAAAGACCATTTCTTTGGTAATGAAAAAGATACACATATACTACTAAGAATGGTTGTAAAACGTTATAACTATTAGCGACTAACCGAGGGAAAGACCATTGGGCAGGCTTATGAAATACAACAGACTCCTTACTGTGTCCCGTTTGGCCACTTCCTTCAACAACGGACAGTATTCCAACCCTACCATGATAAACATATTACAAAAGTTACCATAAGACAGCTAAAAAAGCAGTCTAAACAGGAATATGTCACCTTTCTGTATTTCGTAGAGTTTGCAATACGTCGATTCTAGGTTATCATCATATCAAAAAGTGTTCCAATCAGATACTAAGGTGGTCAGTAGGGGAATATTTTCATATCCATGTTTTGTTATTCTACGTTTGTTAATAAACTGATAATTATATATTTCAATTTCCAGTCTGGTTCATTGTGAGATTTTACATCTTAAATACTTAAATACTAAATGAAAAGTGGCATCATTACGTTATAATAGTATAATATGTCTTCTTTTTAAGTCAAAGAAAATTAGAGAACTAACATTAATAAAGAAACGTCATCCTTTGTTAGACGTATAAAATAAAGAAAATATATAAGAACAAAAGACTAACAGTTTCTCTGTTCTTGTATTTTCATAGCTGACTGCAGTTTTCTCCTAGCTAATGCCCAGATTGTGGATTATCCTATCGTTTACTGCTCGGACACTTTCTGTAAGATAGCGGGCTACAATCGGGCAGAAGTGATGCAGAAGTCATGTCGCTGTACCTTCATGTATGGCGATTTAACAGACAGAATTACTATAGCAAAGATTAATCAGTGCCTCGATAGCCAAGCCTTAGACCAGCTCGAAATTCTTCTTTATAAAAAGAATCGTAAGTATAGAAACTAGCATTGTCCTCTGTAATATGAGATCATTCGTCTTTACTCAGAATTATATTAAATGATTCACTTGTCTATTTATGAATAGGAAATATTCTTCATTTGTTTTCATTCCTTTCTCTTTGCAATTCCCCCCCCCACTTTTTTTGCAAATTTCTTAAAGTTTACACGTGCAGAACTAATGTGGGGATATTATCAGTTTGATAACGGTCCAGCTTTCCAAGATGAGAGCTTAGGAAAATCTGGGTCTCATATTTCTTTGAAGCAATCCATTGAAGTAGAGTAGCAATGGAAGTTTAAAAGATTAAAGCAAGAGAAAGCATTTTCTTTCGGGTAATTCAACGAAAGTAAGTTTATTTTACAGCAGTTTTAACACCTAAACATTAATTATATCCCTACCAAAAGTTCCCTAGAGACAATAAAGTAGTCTAAAGGACAGTGCTTTAAAATCTTTGAGTGACTGATTTCATATCATGCTTTTCTTTATTACAATACAGAGTGTTTTCGTTCATTATCAGCTTATTTGACGAGAATTTCACCTTGAAGCATATTACATTATTTGAACGTAAGGGAAACGAAATTCAAATTATAAAATATCAATCTCGGAAAAAAAAAATCATAAACAGATAACGAAAAGATGGAAAGTCGAAAATAAATATTTGAAATTTAATAAATACGTATTAACATGAGAATTATTCAAAGCGCATAGACGACAATCATATGATATTTAACTGTCTAGTGACGACTTGGATACTAAGCTTATATTTCAATGAATGGCAATCTAATATTACAAATACAAAGGAACTGGATATTACTTAATCCATCCTATCGTCTACACAAATCATCATTAGTTATTGTTCTACACATAAAAGAACAATGGAAGAAGGCTTCCATTTTTTGTGCATAGGACGATCCTGAATGAAGGCTTGAAGGTTTCAAAATAAAACCATTTTCCATCCGGAATTTTAAGTTGTTTTAATTGAAATGTGAGGAATATCATGATCGTTGTTTCTCATGTTTTGGAAGCATACTGAGTGACTAGAAGACAGGGGTAAAAAAAAATGTACTGCCATAAAGGGGCTCATTTTGTAATCTAGACTTCTCTCTTCGGAATCTGAAATTCTCTGAGTTAATAAAGTTCTGTATTATTAAATATGGTTTCCAAAAATATAATTCTAGCCCCATTGCAAAGGAAAAAACAACAACAAGAATTCCACTTGCAAGTTTCCAAATATAATATTTTTTAATAAATTAATTGGAAACGAAAATTTGACAAAGTTGACACGCACACAATACTCACTTTTCTTAAGTTTAACATCATGGATGTTTATACACTATGCAATTCATTAAAGTTTAACACTGTGAACACTTATGCAATATGTAACTCACTGAAGTTCAACACTGTGAACACTTATACACTATGCAGTTCACTGAAGTTTAATATCATGAATGCTTATACACTATGCAATTCACACTTATTAATTATGTGATTCACTAAAGTTTAACACTGCAAACACTTATACATCATGTAATTCTCTGATATCTAACGCTGTGAATACTTATACACTATACAATTAAATTGAAATTTAATACTGTGAACGCTTATACACTATATAATTCACTGAAGTTTAACACTGTGAATGCTTATAAACTACGCAGTTCTCTGAAATTACATACTGTGAACGTTTATATACTAAATAGTTTAACACCGTTGACGTTCACGAATCTCTTTACGACTTTACAGAGTTGGAAATAGAAGGCACTCTCGCCCATCATATGAGATTTCGAAACTCAATGTTCTTATAGTGCAGCATTTCTTAAGAGTTTTGTTTGGATTGGTGTATATGGTTGTGTATTTTTTCATGTTCGTTATAAGCTTCTTGTTGTCTTACAATGGTTTGGTCTGTTATTTCATTGGTTGTAGTGTCCAGGGTCACTGATGAGGAGTGGAATTCTCCGAAACTAGTCTGGTTCAAGACACACACCCAATGAACGTATAGACCATTCCAAGCTTTTACTTGTTCTTAAACAATGTTTAAACAAATCTATTTAATGAACAGAATTATATTATTATCGTTGAAACACTGTCTTTACGTCTCCTCATCAGCGCTCGATCTCTGAGCCTAATGATTCTGTCACGCCCAACCAAACCACACGTCATGTTCAGCATTTCCACCTTTTTAAGTGACTATTTACTGTTTAATTCAGAGATGTTGATAATTCTCCGTTTTTCAATACAGAACGTCTAAAACTTTGCGTGAAACGGGAATGATCGGTCAGATCAGTTTAGTATTCTAGCCACTGGCAATGTTTTATATGTGCCACGTGATTATAAGAGTTCGTGATGAAACAAGCTAAAAGTGATTAATTACTATGTGTTATTGGTTGGAATATACAGCACGAGCTTTAATTCTTCTTTTATATAAAAGTTGTACACGATCTTCAGAATTCATTGTGGAAAAGTAATTACGTAAAGTTAAATGGTGACTCAACAAAGCTAAGAAAAAATAAGTAGCCTTACATATAACATTTGTTCTGTTTCGAAAAGTTAGTGAAAGTTGTAAAATATACCTTGTTTTATTGATCATTCAGTTGAACGATGTTTTATTTGTCATACCTCAGTTTGTTTGTTTGTTATTAAGCACAAAACTACACCATGGGTTATCCGTGCTGTGCCCACGTCGAGTACTGAAACCCGGTTTTTAGTGGTGTGAATTTTTAAATGGATAGAGAAAAATAGATAATTATGATAAACAGTATCTGTTTATCCATCCATCTATCTATATCGCATGCAGCCAGTGGGTGAAGTCTTAATGTTCCAAAGAAGCATTTTATATGGAAAGAGAGAATTGTTTGGAATTGAACATGACCAACTTTTATCAAGGAAAGTGTGTTGCAGTCTTTAGCGACAGTATTCTTGTCACTGTCGAATGCATAAAATAAGATGTTGCTTTCATTGTCATTTTACAGAACAAGACACACGGTAGCGTGTCGTGCGACCAAAACAACCTGCAGGTCACACAGAACTAATAGCTTAGCGATATGCCACCTTCTGTAGCCCGGACTGTGGTAATCCAAACTATCATATATTTTTAGAGAACGTGCTCTACTAGAATCTTACTTCACAGACCAAATTTCGAGGCAATCCATTAAAAAATACACGAGTTATAAAATCTCCAATTTCGATTGAATTTTTCCATTTTTTTTCTTCGCACCGAAAGTACGGAACTTTATTTGATAGAAAAACACACTTAACTTTTATGGATTTTTTCGACTTTCGTAGACTGATAGATCTTTTCAACTTAGAATTAGCAGTCTCATTTTATGTAAATATAAGCCACATGTGCAAAGTTAATCAACAAAAACCGCTCATATTTAACGAAAATTTTTGCGCACGCCTACGCAAAAAGTCACATGAGCTATTGGTCTAACATTTTACTGCAGCTCCACCTAAGAGCAAAAGTAGACCGTTTTTAGTTGTTGTTGTTGTTCGGATTAAAAACGGCTGATTTAGAACAGCAAAACTATAGAGTGAAAGGACGTGGAGGTGCGCAAGTATTGATTATGCCAAGCAAACTAGATTAGCAGTTTCTAGCTCCACTTTTCAAAAGAATCATACTAGTAGACGGTTATTATTGACCATTCATTGAAACCTTTTAAGCACATATTTACAAAATTTTATAAAATTATCCTAATCAAAGAGCGTTTAGTATCAAGTGATATCAGCTTAAGCAATTAGCATAACAAATTTATGCTTGATACGGCTGTACCAGTACATGCAGGTGATGACATGAAACTGTTAATCTATTTTCCATGGGGTTTATTAACACTGTTTTAGAGAGGAAAACTATCATCATACATTATCTGGTTGGTTCTGTAAAGTATAGGTCTGTTCCAAATAATAGGGTTGCGATCCTAAAGCTATTGTTGGTTACTATCGAGTGTCACTTTCTTACTTGCTGTGGTTTGTTGGTGGGTGTTGACAAAATGTCATGAAATCTAATCAGAAACAATTTGGGTGGGGGAAAAAAAAAAAGGGTGTGGCCAAAAAGGATTCGGTGTGCGACTTAAAAGAATGAAATCAAAATTGCTGGTTAAGCTGGTAGCTACTCTTATAGCATTGATAAAAAAATTTTACAGCAACTTTCATTTATTAGTTAGCTAGTTCGCGTATTTTATTTTACTCATAATCATGCCCCAAGCTGAATAAAAAAAACGCGGCCTGGCTAGCTAATGAATGAATATTTGCTGTAAAATTCTTATCAATACTGTAAGTGTAGCTAATAGTTTGGCCGCCAATTTTGATTTCATTCCTTTAAGTCGCACGCTGGATCCTTTTTTGGCCGTACCTTTTTTTTTTTTTACATCTAAGATGTTTTTGATTAAATTTACCTTAGATCATTTCATTACAACCTTCACAGGAAACAAAAATCTGTATAAATACAAATTTATACACACACAAATACGTTAAATTTATTGACTGTAGAAATAAGTACTTATTTTATAATTACGCAAGTAACTGCTGAATTAGGGACGGTTAGCGCAGATGGCCCTCGTGTTGCTTTGCGCGAAATTTACACGAGGGCTATCTGCGATAGCCGTCCCTAATTCAGCAGAGAAAAACAAGAGGGAAGGCAGCTAGTCATCACTATCCACCGCCAATTCTTGGGCTACTCTTTTACCAACGAATAGTGGGATTGACCGTCACTTTATAACGCCCACACGGCTGAGAGGGCGAGCATGTTTGTTGGGACGAGGATTCAGACCCTAACCACCTTGCTATGCCAGACCTGCCTTGCGTAAAGTAACAATATAAAAATGCTTGAAAATCCATACAGAATATTATTTTTTAATAGCGATGAGTTAAACATTTCACATAGTTATTACACAATCAACGAATGTTTCTGATATTGGAAATATCCATAATTACTACTGTTGTATCTTGCAGATATTACACTTCTAGTTCGCTTTCAATTTATGTGCTTTGTTTGGCGACAGAAAGTTTGGAGTTTTTCAAAGGGCGTTACTTTCTCACAACGGGACTCAGACAAGGGTGGTATATATTAGTTTAATGAGATTTGTATTTCTCTTGGTTACCTTTCGACGAAGAAAATCGCTCAAGTAAACAACTTCATTTCTCCATATTCTAGCAGTGCAGGGAACTAAGAACTGGTTACTGGACGTGCTCTTTTGCATTAGAGATAGGTGCGACTTCACTCGTGATGTCCCAAAACTATCTTTTCTGTCGGCGATTCGTGTAATGGCATGTGGCTTCCCCGCCCCGAAGCTCAAGTGTGTATGGTTTTATGCCACATGTGCAAAGTTCATGGCATGAACAACCTGCCTTTGGTGCAGGTGTTTGTATTATTGGTTTTTAATCCAATAAAGGGTTTGTTCACATTCTCTCCATTCTCTCACTCATCGACTATAAATGTTTCTCTTTTTTTATTGTTGCATTGTGTTTATAATCTGATTATGTTTTGTCATTATATATTTTTGAGTTTTAAATCCTTCTTTGTTGACAAACGCAGTCGCAGTTCATAAAGTAATGAAACTCTACACTGCGATATAATATTCGTTGGATTCCTGGTAGGCGGACCCGAAATGTTGCTCTACGAGAAATCCGTGTACTGAAAAATAACACACTTTGTACATGTTGTATTTCCACATTACAAAGTTTATTTATTTGCTTATCCTTTATTTTACATACTTTGTTGAATCAGATTTAATTTCTAATGAAGATGAGCCAAATTCACTGGATTACATTCATCTCATGAACATACAATTTATTTATGAAACCTGTTGATGCAAATCTTTATTCATATATTTGTATAATAATAATTATAAATCATGGCCATTGGACTAGGTCAAGTTTGCATAATGAAAAAAATATTCAGGTATATTAAACATTATTACAATCGGCTAGCATCATCAGTTACCTTCAAGCAACAAAGTATATCAAAATCGTCAGTTCCTTTCATGTAATACACTACATCAGCATCTCTCTTCATTCAACAAACTTTCTTGGCATCTTCAGTTCCTTACACATAATAAACTATATTCACACCACTAGTTCCTTACATATAACAAACTATATTAATATCACCAGTTCCTTTCGTGTAACAAACTATATAAGCATCTTCAGTTTCTTACACACAATAAACTATATCCACACCACTATTTCCTTACATATAACAAACTATATTAATATCATCAGTTCCTTTCGTGTAACAAACTATATAAGCATCATCAGTTCCTTTGATGTAGCAAACTACATCAGTATCATGAGTTACATTTATATAACAAGCTATGTTAACATCATTACTTTCATACATGTAACAAACAGTATGGGAATCATCAGCTCTCTTTATGTAAAAAGCTACTTCGGCATAATAAGTCTATTTATCGTAACAAAATATATCGGCATCGTCAGTTCCCTTCGTGTAATGAATTATATTGGCAGATTCAGTTCCTTAATGTAACAAACTATATTCGCATCACCAGCTCCTTTCATGTAACAAACTATACCGATATTATCAGTTCTGGTCATGTAACAAAATATATCGGCATCATCAGTTCGCTTCACGTAACAAACTACATCAGCATCATTAATTCCTTTCTTGTAACAAGCTATATAGTTATCTCCAGTTCCCTTCATGTAACAAGCTATTACGACATCATTAGTTCAGTAATATATCAAGAAATCGTATAATATTTTGAGCTCTGTGTCTTTGTATGTTGCTTTGGTAGTATATAGATTTGTATTAATTTACCTGCACTTTGTTAACACCCTGTGTACTTCATTTTTCATTTTGAGGAGCCCAATCTATATTTAGGCAAATACCTTTTTGTTTCTTGTCAGGACTGTCGTTTCAGATTAAAATGAGTTTTTTAAATATATAATTGAAACATTAAGAGTAATTCATTATGAACCTTTTCATTTCTGCTTCGCGAAAGTTTCAGAAACAACATTTGTTTTTCTATCGAAACTGACAAAATATTTCGAATAAATCAAGTAAAATATACATTTTTTCCTTGTAATTTGTTCTCTGGAGGAGTATGATTTGTAGCTGTTTGTAGTTGTTTAGTTAAGTGATTAGACCACAGATATACAAGTACATGGTGTTAAAATGTTATTTAACCAATCCATTACTCAACACAACTGCTTTTATATCACAAACGTTAATGTATCCGACAGGGAGGAATGCATTGTATCGCTTTTCTAATATCATAATTAGCATTTTTTGCAACTTTAAGTTTATTTAATGTTTGTTTCTTTGTTTTTTTCATTAAAGAACTTATGCTTTAAACACCGATTGACAAAATCAAAAATGGCTGTCTGCTTACAATCAATTATTTTGTTGTTTTCTCTTTTCTGGCAAGTCTTAAATACGTACAACAAACCCCCACCATATTATCATCAAAGCTGTCCTTTTCTTGTCCTTGTCTCTGACTGACCGTACCTTTATATATATTCTCTGGATAAGTAAGACATAAGAAGTTACTACTTAATTATCTGTGTATTTTATAGTTATTTTTACACGCCTATACTTAATGATGCGAAACCCTAGAAACATTTACTACTTCACATTATCATTATGAAAATAAACTAGATTTAAAACCACATATCTTCTTGTACAGTTGGAATTTCGTGTTGTTTTCATTCCAATATATAACAATGTACTTTTCACATAATTGTAAGATTTTGTGGATGTTTTTAAGAGATTAGTTAACTTTTTTTTTTACTTATCCCGAATGACAATGCACCATCTTGGTAATATAACATACATCTTGATGTTTTAAGGGTAACGTACATTTTTTCCTAAAAACCCAGAGACCTAAGATTCTGTATCTATTAGCGTAGAAATTTGTTTGAATACTTTATATCCTGTGTGTGGCTGCTTATCTTGTATTCCACTATAGCATCTACTCCTTGATAATTATATGACAATACACTTCATTTTTCATCTATAGTTACTATGGTAACATTTTCTATAGATCTTTATATAGTTACTATTTCTTAATGTTTCCATGTTAACATTTTCTATACATCTTTATATAGTTACTATTTCTTAATGTTTCCATGTTAACATTTTCTATACATCTTTATATAGTTATTATTTCTTGGTTTTATGGTAGCTCCCTATGAACTATTATTATGTTCTAGAGACCTGCGTATGATTTGTGGTACCTTACTCTTGATGTAACTGTATAAATACTATTCGTTACTGTTTCTATAGTAACACAAAATTCTGCGTTTTCCGTATAGGTGTTAATCTTTGATATCTAAAGATGACTTGTTTAAATCTATATACAGACACTCCACTATGGCTGTTACTCCACATTGCTCCTATAAAAAACGAAAAAGATGTTGTAGTGCTGTTTCTCCTGACATTCAGGGACATCACAGCCTTGAAACAACCTTTAGAAGACGATGCCAGCAAAGGTAAGCTCGAAGTAATCAAATTATCAATAAAACCGTGCACTGAATGTAACACAGAATTGTGCTATATAAAGATGAACTAACTTAAAATATACAGTAAATTAAGTATACTAAATTTTCATAAGAACATATACAGCTTAGATCAAAGTATAATATGTAAAGCTGAGAAGACATTTATCAGGCCATTGAAGTATGTTACATAACCGTTGTCCATTTTCAAAACGATAACGATTCACAGTGTAATTTCCACTTTTCTATATTTTTTGATATCACCATCTCATGATATGTAATTACAACTGTCATAGCTTTAAACAGCTTCGTGGAGTTTATAATTATTAGAAGATTGGTTTTAAATGTACTGTGGCTTTTATAGATTTAAAGTACTTAAAAATGTGTGTGCGAAAACTCAAAATGCTTCAAACACCATCAAATATTAAACACATTCTAGGTCTCAGCAAGTTTGCTCGACTAGCACGATCTGTCACAAGGAGTCGCTCTGTTTTTGTCCAGCAGTTCTCCTCTCACCTGCCCGTCGTCAAGTCAGACAATGCCAAACAATCGCAGATTACACACGTGAGTATTAGCTCTAAGTTAATAATTCGGACTGGCATACAATTCTGACACATTTTCCAAAGTTAATACACATAATTATGATGGATTGTAGATATTAAACATTGATGCACATAAGCGTTTGAAATTAAATATCTATGAAATTCCACTATTTTCGATAATAATAATAAATATAATATTATACTGTTGTTACTACTACTACCTTATGAATGAAACCACATGAACTAGTTTCCTTAAAAATAATATTAACAAGCCGCCCTGTTTTAGATAACAGATTCAGATCAAAAATCAATAGCAGTAAAAGAAAGAAAAGTCACTGCTTAAAATACAAAAGTGTCATGTCTTTTTTTATATAAAGTATACCCTTTTGAATTGAATAATAAAGTAGTTCAAACATATTTTAAGGTTTCTCGTTATTTATGATAATATATGGATACTTATATCTAAGTCTCTCAGTGGCACAGCGGTATGTCTGCGGACTTATAACGCTAGAAACCAGATTTCGATACCCGTGGTGCCCAGAGCACAGATATCCTATTGTGTAGCTTTGTGCTTAATTAGAAAACGAAATAAACAAAAAAACATATATTTGATTTATATGAAACACTAGGTAAAGGTATTTTTGAAAGTATCGGTTACTAACCTGCTCAGAACCTTGTGATAATCTTATAAAGAGCGAGATGCTCGTTTGTTTGTTTTGAATTTCGCGCAAAGCTACACGAGGGCTATCTAAGCTAGCCGTCCCTAATTTAGCAGCGTAAGACTAGAGGGAAGGCAACTAGTCATCACCACCCGCCGCCAACTCTTGGGCTACTCTTTTACCAACGAATAATGGAATTGACTGTCACATTATAACGCCCCCACGGCTGAAAGGGTGAGCATGTTTGGCGAGACGGGGATTCGAACCGGGGATCCTCAGATTATGAGTCGAGTGCCCTAACCACCTGGCCATACGAGCGAGATACACTTCTCAAAGGCGAAAAAACCTGTAATTAATGTTTCTAATCAACATTCAAGAATTCGTTGATCGTTAAGAAGAATAAATTTTAGGCATAAGACAAAAAGAAATGTTCAGTGTTTTTGTAGTTAATAAATTAATAACTTTATTTATAATTCTGAAGCAACTAAGTTATAGAATGCCAATAATGTGAAAGTCAAACATCTTATTTCTATAAACAAGAAAATATGGCTTTAAACAAACACTAAATATATAGCAATTTTAAGTATAAATTTCCTTTACTTAAAACAGAATAACATATTTGTTTATATAATGCATGTTAATATACAGGATGTTGAGTTATCTAGACAACTATTATGTATAAAATAATCACAATGTTTGTAAGTATCTCAGATAATTTGTGAAACATTTTAAAAGCAGATTTTTGATCTTCACATAACACTGATAGATCACCTTTGTTTTCTAAGTCACAAAAAACATAAGGTTTTATTGCACCATTCAGTTTGCATTATGTTTATGCAAACTATGACCAGATTTATTGAGTAACAATATCAATGTATTATTTTGTATGATTGGCTAAACTAGGTATGTTAAAATGATTTACTTACAAAAACTAAATATTCTTCACCTTGTAACAGAAGGCTGTATAGGATAGTCATTTGGAGTTTGACTTTAAATCCAGTTACAAATAGATTTATATTACATCCAAGTATGCAGTAGCGAATGGAGTACACAAGTCAATAACTCGAGGAAGTTTACAGTTGGAGTAAAAAATTGATTCAGAAACTGAGACAAAAAACAGACAACGCTTTAAGTCTCTCAAAACGAGCTCAGTCAGTTTGACCGACTACGTGACTTCTGTGTGCTCGTTTAAAGTCTTTATAGATTTAATACTTCGAACTTTCAATATAGTGTGTATATCTTCACAAAATTTGGCAGTCTTTTGGTTAACATTACAAGTCTTTCACATACAAAAAAGTGAAGTATTTTTAAAAAACTAAAATAAAGATTTGTCCATGAATATATTGAGTATTGTTTTGAATAGTTCGTGTGCAAAGTAATTTTTCATCTTAAGATTAAAAATACTTTTCTTCATCTCAAATTTCCTGTTGCTATTCATGTTATATTTTTCAGTAAAAACTTTATATTTCATTTGTTATTTTCTCTACCCTATTTCATAACTACAAAAAAAACTAAATAAATTTAAATTACCCTTTTTTTCTTTTAGGGATGACTTCAAATTGTAACATGAAACTACGTTCGTTTATCCTATATAGCTTTAAGCTTGTAACAGTATACATCTATTTATAATTAAATTTCATTGTCCTTTTGATTGTCCTATGAACCGTGCCTAACTACTATTCGCGCCATTATAAGTTGTAAATCACTCGGGGAACAGGCAGCTCACGTTACGCTATGGTAATAACGGCCGAATAATAGTTTCCATGATTATCTATTTTACCATAATATTAATACTAACTACTTTATTCATTATTCCTATTTCATCACTATGTTATATGTGTTTATACTTTCTCAATAATTACGGTTATGAGTATATGCATTACCTTTTTGTTAATCATTACCATTAATCAAATCAGCATATTCATTTATATTACCAAAATCATACGACTTTTTTTATATTTACCCCTCATATTAATTCAAACAACAACATTTTAATCACAATACTGAACGCTGAACTATAATTCTTTTTACATACAAAAGCAAACAAATCATCCATTATAAAATTATTTCATCCAATAGTTATTACATTTGCATATATCATCCAACAATAACTTTTCCATTATCATATGAATATGTCATAAGATATAATTCATATTATTCAATTTAAAACAATCGGTCAGAAAAATAAAACTAAAATGTAATTCGTTGTGTATCATTCATTAAAGTGAACCATATAATAAAACGAGCTCAACATAATTGTGTTTCATTGCTAAGGTTACATATCATCAGACTTACTCGCCATGCAATACATTAAAATATGATAACATTTTCAAAATATGCCATAAAATAATTACATCAATATAAGTTAATAAAGTTCAACTACCACTTATTTATATGAAATGAAAACTCAGATAATTTAATACTAATAAAATAGAAATTAAGAAAACGCAGTTCCTTCTTCTTCTCAGCTGGCTCCTTGGTGTTTTTCCTAGAATTCATTCCGGAAGAATTGGAATACCATGTTATTGATGTTTATAATACATTCTTACAGTACACAGGTTTTCCATTTTGTACAATGTTCAAAGGGGTCTATATGATAGTCACAGTAAATATGGGCGTCATGTGTTAAATAACAGTATGTGGGGCAAGATTCACACACACTAATCCCGTAATTCAACTGATCGTGCACATTTTTCTAAACCTTTGGAATATAACTTCGTATAACCATCTCTGATGCTTCTGCAAATGTCTATTGAGTCACTGAAATTATATCGTCTTTCCGCCAACTGAATTACGTGTAGGTATGCTACACACCAGTCTACATGCCTTATGTCTACCTTACTCAGCATTTTCTCAGGGAATGGGGCTCTAAAACTTATGTGCCCATCCATCCAGTGAATTATGGATAGCCCTTTGATGATGTAGATGCTAGCCACAATTTCAGCCTTGTCTTTTCTCTTCCTGTAATTGTATCATATAGAGTTAGACTAAACCAAAACATTGTCAACATAACAGTACCTTATATCATGGTTCCTGTTTCGCTTCCTGTTCGAACTGTTCCAATACGTTCATGATCGATTCTGAGTTCTCTTTACAAATTTTGGCTTTATTCTACTTCACTCATGCACCTAACTAATTCATTAACTCCAGTCACGTCATCATCGAATATCCTTTCTCTTGTTAGTTCTCGCATTATTGGTTCTCCTTCCATCAATAATTAAACTAATCCTATTGATTTTGATTTATAACAGTTATAAGTTGCTAGCCTCATCGGTTCATTAAGCTAACCTGATTTTGTCATCAGTCTATACAATTTGTCTACAGCCTAATTAGATGGTTCACATTCGTTTAGTTGAATCACTTCAGTAGCCTCTGAATAAGACAACCCTTTGTTGCCTGGTTATTTTCTCCTTTTCTTTTTGAATGTATATAGACCATCTAATTTTAATAATCTAATCAAAGCCAATTTGTCACATGATTTGTAAAACAGTATGCCTGCTAGAACAACTATTAAGCATGGTGTTACAAGAGCTGAATAAGTTATCTTCCATTTATCAAATCTGTAGCTACTATGCGTACTGAATAAATTCCCGAATTAGGGTCGCATCCTCAAATGGGTTCCTCTATGCATCTTAACATGTTCTCTTCCATCATTTCTAAATTTGGATGCTGATCATTAGGAATAGTGATATACGATTTTATATTTTTGATAACTTTGGTCCGATATCACAACACTATTTTTAAAAACTGATAATTCTAATAACAACTCACATATTTCATCGTGATACTTTCAAACGAGTTTCTTATAATTTTCAACTAACCCCGTCTGCGTTACTTTTAATACTTTCATGATTTCTACTCCCTGATTCGTAAAGGTTATTACTTCAGTATCCATTCTCCAAATGCTTACACTAGTCGTAGTGTCAAATGATTGCTCAAACGTTACCAGTTCCTCTTGTAATTGGACTAATAACTGAAAGTACTGTGGAAATGGTATGTTTTCAACAATTATCCATTTATCACTAGATAATATAAAATTTCCTTCTTCAACAAATATCACACCCACCTTATTTTCTACTGGGATCATATTTACGTTCTGTCCAGCTACAACTCCTACCATCAGTAACACAAGGATCAAGGTAAACTTATAGATATATCTAATACTAATACCTATAATTAAGATATTCAATAAAATATATATCAACTAAATACTCATAAGTTTGTCTTACCTCACTTAACTACAGTTATCGTGTTTTTGAAAGCCTCTAATACATTATCTCTCACTTCACTGGATTTATTATTAACAACTTTCATATCATTCTTTGGTTTGTGTACAATTCTTGTGGAACAAACCTCAATCATC